CCGCAGCTGCCGCCGCACCCGACACGTCGCCCCAAGCCATCAGCCTTCCGGCCCACTCCTACGTCAGCGGGGCGCGGCCGGACGTGAGGCGCCGTCGGCACAGCCAATCGGCACTGGACTCGACTCCGAAGCTCGGCCTATCGCAAAGGCCATGTGGCCGGTGGGCGGGCTTCTCTGGAGGGGCTGAGAAAGGGGCTGTACAAGATGGGCGTGGAATAAGGACCGCCCCACCCCAGCCCCGAGGCTCCTGGGATCCTCTCCTGGCTGGCCTGTGAGGTCTGGAAAACTGCTGAAACATTTTATTGATTTTTTTTCCTCTTTTTAATTGAGTGGACGTGGAGAGCAAAGAGGTTCCGACCCCTTTGAAACGGCTTGGCCTGGGCACAGGGTGCAGACTCCCAGGCCTTGAGGACTGCAGCCTCAAAGAATAGTAGAGGATGAAATACATCTGCAGCACGCTCCTCCTGATGTTACCTTTCAAGTGAAGACATTGCCCACCGATACGGAACGTTCATCTCCCAACAATCAAAATCTTATCAATGGTTTCAACAGGTGTTACAAGATGTTGCCACAGAGTTTATAACTCGGCATGGCTAATTTCCCCCACCTTCCATTACTCAAATAACGCCGTGTCTGAGGCCTGTCTTAACCACTGGATTTTAAATTGTCAATGGTTTCTTTTCAATTCTGATCTTGTTCTATTCCTCTCTCTTTCTTCTATGGCACTACTAAAGGTATTGAACTCAAAAACAAACCAAACTCACTGCCATCAGTTAAGGGGTCACACAGACACCCCTTGTGGGTTTCTGAGACTGTTTATGAAGTAGAAAGTCCAGTCTTTCTCCCTCCGTGCTACTGTTGATTTCGAACTGCCGACCATACAGATCACAGCCCAACGCCTAACCACACCACCTGGTCTCCTAAGGAATTGGACTAGTTATTTGCTGTGCTTAAGTGCTTATTGCATATCTCTCCCACCTGTGGAAGGAAGCATCATGAGGCAAATGGATATTTGAGAAATCCCAGCTCCCAGGGGACAGCGGGAAGATTCAATAATTATTGTGTGAATGGAGGTAGAAATTAGAAGCCAACTTATTATGCAACAACAGAGGAATGGCTTTTTAAATGGTGACGTTTAGATATTAAAGTATTTGCTGTGTCCTATTAGAAGAGCCCTGGTGGCATCGCGGATTACACATTGGACTGCTAACCATCAGGTCAGCATTTTGAAACCATTAGCCATGCCTTGGGAAAAAAAATGTTTTCTTTTTTTTTTTGTCTTTGTCACGCTTAGGTTTTATTATTCACTGCCATCGTAGATATGGGGATATGGGGAAGAAGGTTCAAACATACACCCTCCCTTCCCACCCTCCTCTCCACGCAGGCCCTCTCCTTTGTGAAGAGAGGTGATGGACGGATGGATGAGACAGTGAGACAGAGACAGAAACAGAGAGACAGACAGACAGACACAAAGAGACAGAGAGAAAGAGACAGAACAAAAGATGTTTTCTACTCCCAAAAACTGCCACTGCCCACAAGGGCAGTTCTACCCTGTCCCTTAGAGTCATGAGTCAGAATCACCTGATGGCAGTAAGTACTTTATTAATTTTTAAAAGTCAAAATGTAACTGTGATTTTTATAAATTAAAAATGGCCTCCTGCCATTGAATTGGTTCAGTAGCTGACCTTGCAGCTTATAGTCTCAGTGACTCCTTGATGTCACAGATATCAAAGACCAAGGACTGTCATCAAGTCTTTACTGATTGTCACCCTATATAGGGTTTCCAAGGCTATGAAAATAAGGGGAGCAAACAGCCTCATCTTCAACTAGTGGGGTAACTAATTCAACGAGTTCAAACTGCTGATCTTTATGATAGCAGCTCTAAGTGAAGACCCACTCTGCCACCAGGGCTCCGTGATTACACCAAAGCGATAAATAGCAACTCAAAAGGGATAAGGCTGGAAGGACTAAAGACCACATGGTAAACCACCAGCTTCCACTGGACCTGAAGGGAAAGAGAGGCATACATTGCAGTAGAAAAGACTTTCTCTACTCATCCTAAAATTTATACTGAATGAGGTTGAACTTCCAAAGCTGCAAAAACGAGGGGACCAAATATTTGAGAACTACTTTGGAAAAAAATCTATGACAGTAGCTGGAATCCAGGCTCTCTTCTAATTTTATTTGAAAATTAGGCTAATATTCGACCTTGAAGGTTGTTTGTTTGTTTGTTTTTGTGGGGGGAGCATTTGAAGTGAACAAACTTGGCTGCGACTCAAAATAAGAGTTAAAAATTAAGAAAAAGATGCCTCCACCACCACCACAGGGAGACACATAACAGAAATATGGGTGACAGAAGATAACGGACAGTGTAAAACACAAAATAGCAATAATAATATATAATTGATCAAGAATTCATGAGGGTGGGAGGGCGGGGGAGTGAGGGGGAAAAAGAGGAGCTGATACCAAGGGCACAAGTAGAAAGGAAATGCTAATGGCAACATTTATACAAATGTACTTAAGACAATTGAATGATGGATTGTTATAAGATTTGTAAGAGCCCCCCAGTAACATGAATAAAAAAAGAATAAGATTGAAAAAATAGTGAGCAATTCCTGACACTCATAATTTTGCCACGCAAAATGGAAACCAGCAATTACACTCATAAAAACAGTACATTTTAAACATCCACAAAAACAAAGTACCTTTGTATACTTCTGGGAACTACAGGTGTGTATGTGTACTATGTACAATATCAATGATGACTAGTATATTCAACAAAAGCCTAAAAACATTTTACAGTGCATGGATGATAGGTCTTCTGTTTGAATTCATAGCATGTTACTGTTCTTATGACTCCATTTATAGAAATTATTTTGTTACTGTTTTAGATTGGATTTTACTTTCAAATCTGTTGTAAACCCTAACCTCTATGCCTGCAGTAATAATCACATTTGGGAGCTGATTGTTTTGTTGTGTTAATTAGGCAGGGTTAATTTTGGGCATATTTTAAGTGAATCTTTTTGATATTTATTACACAAGCAAGCAAAGGAGAGATCAAACCAGTCAACTCACTGCCATAGCGTTGACTCTGACTCAGTCACCCTATAGGAAAGAGTAGAACTGCCCTTGCAGGTTTGTAAGACCTAGTAAGTCTATGGGAATAGAAAGCCTTATCTTTCTTTTGATAAGTGGTTTTGAACTGCTGACCTTGCCGTTAGCAGCCCAACATGTAAAACACTACACCACTAGGGTTCCCAGGAAGCTGAAGGTAAAGAGACAAAGACTTCCTCCAGAGCTAACAAAGAAAAAGAAGTCTCCTCCAGCCAGGGTTCTGAATTCAGATTTCTAGCTTCTTCAAGTGTGAGAAATTGGTTTATTTGTTAAAGCCACCCATGTGGTGATATTTTTGTCATAGCAGCACTAGATGATTAAGACTATTATCATTATCCCTTGAATCAGGGTTCCATCACCTCACTGGCTAGTCCAGAATAATAAAGTTAATTCAATAAGCACTTTGTCCAATATATTCAATAACCTCAGGCTTTATTTGCAAATATAGGACAGAGGGCCCAAGGAACTAGACTGAATGTCACTTCTCCCTGCAACCATGTGGGTAGTGTATTTTCACATTCCTTTGACTTTGAACTTAACGAGATTGATGTTGGTTAATAGCAAGGGAGCAGGAGGAGGAATTTTAAGCATCTAGTTTCCTTCTTGTGCCCCTGCCTAGTCAACTTGTACAAGAACAATAAAATGTGTACAGCTGAACTTCCCTAGTTAATCCATAGATTAACCTGCACTGAAAAACATAGCTAATCATGAAAATAATTAGTAGTGACTGTTTAAATGCAATGTGGGGGTTATATGTTAATATAGCATTACTGTGGCAATGGCTAACTGGTATAGTGCCAAACCTCATCGAGTTACAAAGGTACATGCAAAAAGACTAGGTTAAAAGATCACAAAGATGACCAACAGTATGCCTATGAGTCATTTCTGACTCACAATAATTCTGTGTACAATCACTGTGCCAATCCCTCATTTTCACCCACCCCTTTTCTCCAGGTACTGATGGCTCTTTTGAGAACGTGTCCAAAGTATGTGACATGAAATCTTGCCACCCTCTTTTCTAAGAAGTATTCTCACTGTACTTCTTCCAAGGTAGATTTATTTGATTTTCTGGTAATCCATAGTATATGCACTATTGTTCCCAACACTGTAATTCCATTGTACCAATTCTTCTTCAGTCTTTCTTAACCACTGTCTAGCTTTTGTATGCATATGACGTGATTAAAAATACTATGTCTTGGGTTTAGTTGACTTTAATCCTCAGTGCCCTTTTATTTCAAAGTGACCATTTTTTAAAACTCTTTAAAGAAGTCTATTTCAATCATTATTCATAATACATAGTTTGACTTCTAACTGCTGCTTCAATGGGCATTGATTGTGGCTCCAAATAAAATAAAATTCTTAACCATTTCAATCTTTTCTCCATTTATCATGTTGTTATATATTGGTCTACTTGTTAAGATTTTTGTTTTATATTGAAGTGAAATCCATACTTAAGGCTGTTGTCTATGATCTTCATCAGTATATGCTTCAAATTCTCTTGGTAGATGACATCACAGGCAGAGTACACACAGATGAACTCAGGCATTAAAAGACACACTAGCAGACCTGTCGATTTGCTGCCTACAAGAGACACATCTCAAGATTACAGACAAAAATGGGCTGAGAATCAAAGGCTAGAGAAAAATATACTAAGCAAATGGCAATTCAAAAAAAGCAGGGATTGCAATCCTAATCTAGGACAAAATTGATCTCAAGGTGCAAGTCATAACAAGAGATAAGGGGCACTATATAATACTCAAAGGAACAAGAACCAGGGAGCATAATAAATATATACACGTCCAATGAGACCCGCAAAATTTGTCAAACGTTCCAAAAGACGAGAAAACAAATCATTCTCAGCAATTATAGTAGGTGACTTTAATATACTACTGTCCGAGAAAGAGATCACAGGGAAAGTTTAACAAGGAGGCTACAGATCTAAACATTATGATTAGATGACTTGACCTGATAGATATTTTCGGAGCTCTCCACCCAAATGCAAAAGAAATTCACATTCTTTTCAAGCCCATATGGCACATACACGAACAGACCACCTGCTGGGACGCAAGTCGAATCTGTGTAAATTCAAGCACACAGAAATCACAGACTTCTCTTTCCAACCACTATGCCATAAGGCTGGAAATCAACAAAAGGATGATTAAGAAAACAAAGACAAACAATTGGAGGATGAATAACTATTGCAAAAGGAGTGGATACTGGCTCTGATCAGAGATGAAATTAGAAAGTTTCTAGAAAGAAACTCAAGGTGGATCACAGACCTTAAAGTAAAACCCCAAACTACTAGGACCACCAGAGGGAATTGGGACAAACCTGAGAACTTTGGCACAGGGAATACATACGCTATTGGAAAATAGGGAAGGACCCAAATACAGTGAAGGCACAAATTGACAAGTGGGATATAATAAAAATACCTGTGCACATTGAAAGAATTACCCGAGAGTAGGAAGAGAGCCCACAGACTGGGAAATCATCTTTAGCAATGACACATCAAAAGCCTTATTACTAAATCTACAATATTCTGCTAGCTTCCAAAAAGAAAAACACGAATTGTGCCCTGAGGAGGTGGGCAAAGAACCAAAGAAGTTTCACAAGGGCAGAAATCCAAATGGCCAATAAACATGAGAAAATGTTCCCAATCATTAGCCATAAGAGAAATGCAATTAAAAAAACAACAACTATGATACCACCTAGCACCCTCAAAGATAGCCCAATTCAAAGTATCAGAAAGTAACAAGAGTTGGAGGGACTGTGGTGAGATAGAACCCTCATCCACTGCTGGTAGACCTGTACATTCCTACAGTGTAAGTACAGTCACTATGGAAATATATTTATATTTTAAGTATTAAGGTAGCAAACGGGCATTGGACCTCTGCTCGAGTACTCCCTCAATGCAAGGACACTTTATTTTAAATAGCCAGCATTCTGTGATCACCTCCACAACACAATCACTTTAGACAGTCAGTGTACAGTGAACCCTCGCCACTTCGCGCTTCGACTTCTTCACTCTATCGCGGTTTTTGCGTAACAGCACCCACTGCCTACACCGGCTCCTTCAGAGGAAAAAGACGGCAACCCACCTGTAGAGTACATCCCTTAAGTCATTTCATAGGCTATTGATTACAGTATTTGTAAGAACTATGTATAATAATACTGTATGTGAAATATGTAGTACTGTAAACTAGATGCCATAAATAATATAATAAATAATAAAGGATAATTGTAACGTCCAAAATGGTTTACTGTATTTTCCCTTTTTCGTTTAATAAATTGGGTAATACGAGTGTAATGGTGACTAAAGGGTGTTTTTTCATGTCCTCTATGCTCTAACTACGAAAATATTTGATTTACAAATAAGGAATCCTACTTCGAGGAATTTCATTTATCACGGTAGGGTCTAGAACCGATTAACCGCGATAAACGAGGGTTCACTGTATAAGTAAATGTTGTGAAGAAAGCTGATGGTGCCTAGCCATCTAGCTGAGTGCCTGGAGAAACCAGCTCCTAGTACAATCACTGGGTTCGGTAGGCGCAATTGTATAAAGATAATAAGTAAAGATTATAGTAAAGTTATAGAGAGCATGAGATAAAAAGAAATACATGGAGTCAGACACACTTTATGGTAGCATTGCTCACCTTAGCCCCACTTGGTGGTCCATGTGGAGGGAGAGAGAGGGGAAGTAGGACAGGAAAGGGAACAAGGGAGAGAGGACAGGACAGGAGAGGGGGAAGGGAGGGAGGACTAGGGAGAGAGGGAAACTTTAATGCTTCCCAAGCTTTTATCCTCTTTGGGGACCACAAGCCCCCTAATTACAAGTGAATACAAACATCACAGGAAGGGTTTGTACTATACATTATACAGTAATGAGAGAGGGGGTGGTTTAGGGACATACACACAATAGGAAGAGGAGGGATTGGGGGTATACATGTGACAAGATGGGCAGATCCTAGATTTAGGATGGCAGATTAACTTTGACCTGTTCCTGGGTCTCCATAGGAACCATTATCAGTAGTGTGTAAATCCCTCCTATAGGAACCAAGCTAATGGTTTTAAGCTTAATCCATTGTCTCCAGCAGCAGGGAGCAGGCCCACCTCGATGGTGGGACAAGATAGCAGTCTGGCAGTGATTACAAGGATCTAACCTCCCCCCACAGCTGAGACACAACAAAGCCCACATGGAAGAAGCACACCAGCCTGTATGATCCTGAGGTGTTGTTGACATCAGTTATCAGGCATCAAGACCCGGAACAAAAAATCATAGAATGAGGGGGGAGCGTGGAGTGGAGACCCAAAGTCCATCTGTATACAATTGGACATCCCCTTAAAGGGATCGCAAGGAAATATATGAAACATACAACTTTCCTCTAGTTCTATAATGCATCCTCACCACCCCACTATGATGACCCCAATTCTATCTTACAAATCCAGTTAGACCAGAGCATGTACATTGGTCTAACTGGATTTGTAAGATAGTAAGAGGATTAATAGTTCCTTAGGGGGTGGGAAGTAATGGGGAGCTAATAATAATAATGGGTACAAGATGAAGAAACTGTCCAAAATTAATTATGGTGATGATTGCACAACTCTTTTTTATATATTTAAACCAATGAATTTGTATGATATGTGAATTACATGTCAATAAAACTGCTAAAAAATCCAACTACGGTGATGTAAGAATCTAGTTCTGTGGAGATAGAGATGCTTACTATTATATATACAAAAACCATATCCTTGGGGCATGAAAAATATTTTTCTTTCAGTAAATGATTAAGAATTTAAAAAATAAACATCTCACAAGACTACGTAAGATGCCTCCCCACACTTTTAACTTAAACCACACACAAATGTAAACATCCCACAATGAAACGCAATTTGGTATTACAGTGAATGTCCTTTAATTTTATGTTGTACAATTAAAATACTTTGTTGTAATTTGACTTATGTAGAAAACTTTCATTTAGATTTCAAAATTTACATTACAAAACGACCAGCAATTTTGTGCATTTCATCAATGCTTATGAATTCCACTTCACAGATAGAAATAAGATGATCTCATGTTCAAAAGGAAAGACACTTGTGTTCCAACAGCATTATTCCACATCCTCTATATGTCTAAGCCACACTGCTCAAGACATGTTTGTGATGGTGTCTTCTTCCATCTCCTCTTCACCATTATCAGTGGGTCCTAAAAATAGAAACATAAAAATCAAAGGTCATAGCGATTTTGGATCATTTGTTTGGATAGAACTAGCTACAAAGAAAGCAAAAAGAGCCCTGCTCTCGAATTTATAATCTGGAAATAGCCTTCTTATAGAAATTGGAATATTAGCAACTGTGATGAAGTAAAATTTCTTATTATGGCTCTTCTATCTATGTCTCTCTCTCACCAAATGATTGAGTGGGATCATGTAAATAGGGTGTGTGAAACACTAATAAAAGGAATTAGTCAATTTTAGTTATTACTTCCCTGGCTTTAAGAATGAGCCAACTCAAAAGCAGGAACAAAAAGAATTCCCAGGGCCATCAAGCCACCAGCAGAGCATATTTGAAATTGCTTTCTGAAGTAGCAGAGGCAACAGTGGCCATGAAACAAAGTAAGGCAGTGCTGAGACTATGAGGTGGAGCAGTATGTGGGTTTCTTGACCCAGATCCAGAGGCCAAGGGACCACATGTCTGAGGATGAGACTAAGAGAGACACTACTAGTCTGTTGGCTGAGGAGGTGTTGCTGCGGACATAGGACTATATTCTTAATGACTTCAGATCCTGACTTGTGATAATCTGGTATCTCCCCTAATAAATCCCCATAATTGTGTGCATTATCTGTGAGCTCTGTGTGGCCATTGCAACTGATTATTGAAACCAGCAGAAAAGTATGCCATGAGAGGAATAAAGAAAGAAAGACGGAGCCTTGTAGCAATCGGTCTTGGGCAGATGTGGAGATGGTTTCCCCTTTCTCCTTGTGTATACAGAGAAGGTCAGATATGGCCTCTGTGCCATTCACTCAATAGCATTTGCAGATAATTGTATCTTTTTGTTATACCAGAACTTGAAAAATAGTAGTTTCTTAATGAATCTTTTAACCTAATGAATAATTTGGAAAATACTGATTCCGTGAGTTATGCAAACCTTTACTATGTTGAGCTACTTCATGATACAATATAAAATTAAAACTTCATTGTATCATTAAATCATATTCAATATATATCATTTTATATGTTGACACCCTCAGGAAAGAATAGGTGGTGCTATGCTGCCAATTACCACAGCTGTGGGTAATAAGCTTTCAAAATTATAATTTTTGTTTGAAATCTTGAATTTCACATTAGTTTTCCTTGAAATGACGGCTCATTTCCTTTACACTTAAAATACCTGCTTCTCAAGTGAAATAACTGTACAAGTGTTTTCCACGGAGACAACCTCTAACTTAAATAAACACAAATGCTTGTTTCACATGAATCTCCTATATAACTCATAGTGACACAATATACAACAGAGTGAAACATTGTCCATTAGGTCTTGTACTGTTCACACATTGTTCCTATGTTTGAAGTGACTGGCAGCCACTATGCCAATCCATCTTCTCCAGAGCTTTCCTTCTTTCTGCTCTTCTACTTTACCAAGAATGATGTTCTACCGGGACTGGTCTCTCCCTACATGTCCAAAGTACCTGAGATCATCCTGGCTATATCTTTTCCAAGTCAGATTATTGGTTCTTCTGGAAGTCCACGGTAATTTCAAGGTTATCTGCCAGTCTTCCTTAACACGAAGTTTCACATACATAGGAGGTGATTGAAAATACAGTGGCTTGTGTCAGGTGCATCTTACTCCTCAAAGTAACCTCCCTGATATTCCATTCTCTAAAGAGGTCTTGTGCACCAGATTATCCAATGCAATGTGTTATTTGATCTCCTGACTGCTGCTTCCATGAGCATTGATTGTGGATCCAAGCAAGACGACATCTTGACAACTTAAAACTCTTCTCCATGGATCATATTATTACCTGTTGGTCCAATGTGGGATTTAGGTCTTCTTTACAATGAGTTGTAATCCATACTCAAGGCTGCAGTTCATTTTCATCAGCAAGTGTTTCAAGTCCTTCTTACCTTTGGCTAGCAAGATTGTGTCATCTGCTTATCTCAAGTTCTTAATAAGCCTCCTTATCTTGATGCTGAATTCTTCTCCATATAACCCAGCTTCTCTGATTATTTGTTCAGTGTACAGATTGATTTAAGTATAATAAGAGGACATAGCCTGGATGTACACTTTTCCTGATGTTAAACCATGCAAGAATTCACAACTGCCTCTTAATCCATATACAAGTTCCACATGAGCACAATGAAGTATCCTGAATTCCCATTCTTTTCAAAGCTGTCCATAGTTTGTTATGATCCATACAGTTGAATGCCTTTGCATAGTTAATGAAACATAAGAAGACATCTTTCAGTTACTATTTGCTTTCAGCCAAGATACATCCTTCTGAATCCAGCCTGAACTCTAGCAGCTACTTGTCAATGTACTGCTATAACCATTGCTGGATGACCTTCAGCAAAATTTTATCTGCATGTGTTATTAATGATACTGTTCTATAATTTGAGTATTCTGTTTGGTAACACCTTTGGAATAGGTATAATTATGGATTTCTTCCAGTTGACCAAGTAGCTGTCTTCCACCTCTCTTGGCATAGACAGGTGCTTCCAGTATTTCATCAGCTTGTTAACTTTTCAATTTCTATTTCATCAATTTCTGTAATCTTGTTTTATACTAATACTTTCAGTGCAACTTGAACTTCCTTCAGCACCATTGGCTCTTCAATCTTTTTATCTTCTTTTGACACTTCCTACATCATTAAAAATTTTGCCCATAAAATCTTTCAAAATTTCAATTTGAGGCTTAAATTTTCTTCTCTCGTCTTAGTTTCAGGTATACTGCACACGTTCTTTCTTTTTGGTTTTCTATCTTTGAGTCTTTGAACACTTCATCATATTTCATTTTGTCTTCTTGAGCTGCCCTTTGAAATTTTCTATTCGGCTCTTTGACTTCATTTTTTCATTTGCCTTAGCTACTCTACTAAGAATCAGAGTAAGTCTTAAGAGTCTCTTTTGACTTCCACTCTGATCTCTATCTTTCCTGGCTTTTTAAATACCTTTTGTTTTTTAGGAATGATGTTCTTGATGTCATCTCACAGCTCATCAGGTTCTGTCACTGGAGTTGAATGCAGCAAATCTGTTCCTGAGATGTTTTTCGAAATTCAGATGGGATAAACTCAAGGTCACATTTTGGCTTTATGGACCTTTAATATTCATCATATTTCAAATGAGTGTATATATGAACAATTAGTGGTCTGTCCCACTATCAGCCCCTGACCTCATATTAGCTGCTGTTAATAAGATTCTTCTCCATCATCTCTCCCCACAGATGTAGTCAGTTTGATAGCTGTGTATTCCACCTGGAGTTCACACTTATAGACACTTTTTGTGTTGAAAAAAGGTATATGTTATGAACAAGCTGCTGGTCTTGCAAAATCCTATCATGTGATTTCCAGCTTCGTCTCTATCACCAAGACCATATTTTCCAACTACTGTTCCTTCCTTTGTCTCCAACTTTTACATTCCAATCACCAATAATTATCAGTGTATCTTGAATGCATGTTTCACCAATTTGTGATTAAAGACTTTGGCAGAATTTTTCAATTTCTTCATTAGTTTTTGTGGTTGGTGTATAAATTTGAAGAATAGTTGTATTGGTTGGATTTCCTTGAAGGTAGACAGATACATGTATCACGGACAGCACTGTGCTTAAAGATAGATCTTGAAATGTCCTTTTTGACTATGAATGCAATGCCATTCCTTGATCATGTCATTTCTGGCATAATAAACCATATGATTTTCTAACTCAAAAAGGCCAATACCAGTCTATTTCCTCTCACTAATGCTTATTTATATCGCTAGTTAGCCATTTCATTTTTGACAACTCCCAAATTTCCTAGATTCATAAATCACACATTCTAAGTCCTGATTATTATATTTTTTCACCTGGTTCTTCTAGTTTTGAGCTGTGCCCCATCAGCAAATGAAGATCCAGAAAGTTTTACATCATTCAAGTCATAATGGTCAACTCTACTTCCTCCATTGCACTTTGTGTGCCTTCTGATCTAAGACGCTCATCTCCTGGCAATGTCTCTGACAATGGTTTGCTGTTATATATTAGGATTTAAGTGGCTAATTTCTTTGAAGCTAATAGCCGATTCTTTCTTCATAATAAAAAGATTTATAAAGACACTTATAATAAAAGGAAATACAATGATAATTAATCCCCAAAAATATTTGAAGGAGCTTTCTGAATAAAACTTGGCCGGGGACTACCTGTGGTTAGGACCCAGAGGCCATGAACCACACTGAGAATCATTGGTCTAATTAATGTCTCACTCAATGTAGAGTTAAGAATTCATTTAGTGGTGGAGTGGTTCTGAGTTGGACTGCTAACTGCAAGGTCAACAGTTAGAAACCATAAGGGGACAAAGAGACTTTCTACTCTCGTAAAATGTTAGTTTCAGAAACCCACTAGGGCAGTTCTACCTATGAATTGCAATAGACTCAATGTCAGTTAAGTTTTGGTTTTATGCAATGTTCGCCTTCTCTCCCTGGGAGTAACTTTTAAAGCCCATGGAATTTCTACAGTGACTGGTGTCTTTGTTATTGGTGGTGGAGTCTAAAGATAGGATCAGGATAGGGGCTGGTCACATCACAAAGGCCTACTAGGTTATGAACAGCTGACCTTGCTCTAGTGAGGGAGGCAGGGCTAGAAATGCAATTCAATACTAAGGCTAAAGACTTAATAAATTATGATATATAATTAATAAAGCATAATAAAGAATTAATAAATTAATAATACCCAAAACATCCAAATTCACAGTCATTTCCAACTCAAAGTAACCCTATAAGACAGAATAGAACTGTCCCGTGGATTTCTGAGGTGGTAAATCTTTCCAGCAGCTGCTGTTGGGTTCAAACTGCTGACCTTGCAATTAACAGCCCAATATTATAACCTACACAACACAATATTTCAATAAAACTCTGGACACCTAAGAAGACACAGATGTTTCACATTTGGGAACCTTCACCCTTACCACGCCTTATCATAAGTATCTTCCTTTTTTAAAATTATAATCATTTACGTGTAGTGCTTCCGAGTTCTGAGAATTGCTTTCATAAATTTCGGAGCTCATGAAGGCAGTGGGAATACTTGACTTTTCAGTCACTGAGAAGTGCAAGTGGCGCTAGACCTCCTCAACTAGCCATTGCTGTTTTAAATCTGGTAGACTGTGAAATCCAGCCTAATGTCAGAAGTCATTTGAACTCATTTTTAACTCATTTTCCCAGGGAAACTTTCCGTGAATTGTCAGTCTAGGTAGAGGTTCTCCAGAACATCCAAATAAATTATAAACTCACTATAATGTTCTCTGGGTGCTCTGAGTTAATGAAAACAGTTTACATATTCAATTGCTATCCAAAAGGTTGTAATCACCCAAAAAGGCCCGAAAAACCTTCGAAAAAAATCAGCTACTGAAAACCTCAAGGAGCACAACTCTACTCTGACACATAAGGAAGGGGTTGCCACAAATACGAACTGACTTGATAGCAGTCATTTTCATTGTATTCCCAATGCCTAAGACGTAGGCTATCAAATATTTCCATAGCTAACACTTGTCAAAAACTTGCAATGCCAGACACTGTGGTAAGGGCTTTGTATATTAAGTATATCACAGAATTCTCCCCACAACCTTTTGCGGTTGGTTCTATTTTTATCATTCTGGCATAAAGATGCAGGGTTAAGACACTTGTCACAGGCAGAGCAGTGAGACAATGAATAAGGACCTAAATTGTTTGATTTTAGATCCTATTTCTTAATGACTAAACGATCACGTACATGGGTAAAACTCTACAGGGTTACCTTTGAATTTTGGCTTCATTTTATGGTGATGAAATGATCATTGCTCCAACTTTTATACAAAAACTTAAACAAAGCCATAGCCTTGTAACTTAAAAAAATCTTAAAATAATACTTCATTCACTTTCAAATAATGATTAAAAGGATGTTATGTAGATTAGGTGGTAATGAGGCACTATTCTCTCTTTCTTGGGTTAAAAGGGTTAAACCGCTAAGATGTTTTGCAATCACTTTTGTAATATTCATTTCAAGAAAGGCAGAAAGCCATCTTCTAACCTGATCTACGCTCTCTGCCGGGTATCTGACCAGACTGCAGCAGCCCCTTCAGCCGCTCCACTTCAGCCAGAGTCGATGCATTTGCTATAGCATTCTGAAGGGTAGATCACAAAAGAAATGACAATTAATTTAAACACCAACAAAAATTCTTAACAAAATTTCCAAGTTAGAACATCAAATAGTATATTGGGGACGGTACTGCACAGGCACATTGAAATCAAACCTGAAAACCAGATTACAATTTAAAAAAACTGTTAAAGAGATACTGGCTTTTTTATAGAGACCAAATAATCATCCCAAGTGTCCTAAAATTTTAGCTAATTTAGGTACTTATTTGGTATCATATTACTGGACAACTTATGAGGCAATATAAATTATGATGTCCCACTGATTAGTATCACAGGAGATATTTGAAAGCAAAAAGTAAAAGCAAAAATCAAGGCAACTACTCCAACTGCTTCATAATATAAATGCATCCTGGGGACACGAGCTATCAGAGCTGCTTGCCTTTGACTAGCTAGGCTTCAAGTCAAAGGAGATGGAAACTTAATTTTTCCTTAACAGAAGTTTATAGTTGAGAGCTAACAACCATGTAAAATGAAATCTATAATGTCCAGAACTTGATTTACACCTTGTGTGCTAATCCCATCTAATGTCTCATCAGTCCAAGAGACCTCATAACATTACCTTACCTTAATTGCTTCTACATCCCCTGGAGATGGCCCACCTTTTTTTTTATCAGTTGGCAAACCAGCACCTGGATTAAAACTTGACAAGAGGAAAAACATAAATGTTAAATCCCGACCAAAGAAAATGCCTCTCTTTTACTTTCAAAAGTTTTTGAAAGTAATTCAACCAGTGTAGTATCTTATCTTTGTTAACAAACTGATACAAGAACTCTCTCCTTCAGAAACACTACTTAGTTCATCTTCCTATAAAGAAAGTTGGAAGTATATTGAATTATTTGCTCTGATGACCTGGGAATTTCATGGCTATATAAAACACTGATGGTGCCACGAACCACCAGCTCCCAAGTTTAATACCACATTAATCTCAACTGTTTTGTTCAGTGTTTCTGAAGGTGAAGTAGAAGGGATCCGTATCTTACGTTTTGCTTCTCCTGGCAATATCCTTTGCAAGTTGTGCACCCCGTTTGCCCTTGAACATTTTCTCTGCTTCCTGACGCTCCTACAGCAACACCACACACAGAGTTAATGGAAACAGGAATAGCACATGCATTTAGATGCATTCCTTAGAAAACATGGAAGAAAAAGTCCTCAAATGCTCTGGCTGGTCAAACTACCAAAAGCCAATTGTGAGTTAAATTTAACGAAGTTCCCTGAAGAAGTCCTCTTTCTTGGTTTTGTTCCAAGAAAAGGTTCCCAAGAACCAAAACCAGACTCACTGCCATTGAGTGAACGCCAACTCACAACAACCCTACTGGACAGGGCAGAACCACCCGAGAGTCTCCGACACCAGAACTGTTTACAGGATCAGAAACCCCCATTTCCCCACAAAGCAGCTGGTGGTTTTGAACATTGCAGCCAAACATGAAACCACTACCCCACCAGGACTCCTTCCCCAAGACACTAGGAAAGGGGGGAGAGGGAACTCCCCCCAAAGAACAAAAATGGAATAGCTAAAGTTTCCCACTAGAAGCACAGCTAAGCAACCTGTTAACAGTGTTCATTACGGCTGACATTTTGCCACCTTTGGAATAACTTTATCCCAAAAGTTCTACTAGAACCTCTGCTGTGAAATGTCAACATCCCCTTCTCATATTTTAATTACAAGCTAATAGTGAGATTTTCTCAATTAGGCAAGCAATAACAAAAATAGAAACAAAAGCACACAAGCCCATAATGGCTCTCAATAAACAGAGTCACATCAATACTTACTTTTAGTTTCACTTTCTGGAAGTCCAGTACTCTGACTTGTGGAACTTTATAAATTACATATAGTCTGTAATGCTTCTTATTTGTTACAGGATTTCTTAAAATACTACAAGAAAAGGAACAATATCATGCCAATCTTACACAACACCGTGCCCAATTTTAATGAAGTATAATGAATCTGTAAAATAAGGAAACCCTACTTTCAAAACTTTCCAATGAAATAATTTAAATAGCCCTGTTATTAGGTGCTACTATGTGGAGTTAGACTCATAGTGACCCCATTTGTCAAAACTGCACCTTAGGATTTTTTAGGCTGTAATCTTTTTGAGAGCAGATTACCGGGTTTTATCTAAAGTGGAGCCACCGAATGGGTTCTACATGCCAACCTTATATTTGGCAGCTGAGTGCTTACAGGTTCCTTAAGTAATACTAAGGGCTAAAAGGAACACTTCTAATATTTGTTTCTAAAAGGTACATTTTTAGTAAGTGACTGTTCTAACATCAAGGATGGTAAATGTGTTAAAGAACTTCATTAGTTTCACCGTGACAACAAATAACTCACAAACCTTAGATAAGTCAATGATTTGAGAGATGCCAAGGGGTCGAGATCACCCTGTAAAACAATGAACACAGGTAAGAACGCTAAAACACACACACACACACACACACACACACACACACACAGGCACAATTTACATGCTTTGAAATAAAAGGGGCTTTGGAGCAACATCTCTTTCTTATCTTTTATTTATTTTACTGCTCCAGTAACTAGCACACTATCTGCACAGTAAAGATGTTGAATACACTGGTGAGTAAATTTGAGCTCTTCCAAGATTAAAAACATCAGCATTAATAGTCGCTGTAGCAACATAAGACAGAAGAATTATTTCCTGTAGTAATCTCCAAAGGATTACTAAGCTTAAAGCAATAATTTAGAAATGGATCAATATCAAAATTGATGAACATGCATTAAGCTATTCACATAAAGAACATTAAAATAATACAAAACTGGAAGCAAAGCTATGGATAGAAGTACAAACATAGGTGTGTACATTAATTCACAATAGAGGTATTGAACAAACTTTGGGTCTCTGCTCAAGCCCTCCCTCAACACAAGAACACTTTGTTCTAACAAACTGGCATTCCATGATGTTCACCCTCCTGACCCAACTGCTGAAGACAAACCAGGTGTATAAACAAATGTGATGAAGAAAGTAGATGGTGTCCGGCTATAAAAAGATATAGTACCTACGGTCTTAAAGGCTTGAAGGTAAACAAGTGGCCATCTAGCAGAGAAGCAACAAGCCCACATAGAAGAAGCACACCATATACCACCCTGTGTGATCATGAGATGGGATCAGGCAACATGCATCAGAAGACCCAAAACAAATAAACAAAACCATATTGTTGAGAACGAGGAGGGTTGGACCAGAGACCCCACACTCATCCGTAGACAACGGGACATTCCCTCACAGAAGGATCACAAGGAAGGGATGAGTCAACCAGGGTGCAATATAGCAACCGTAAGGCTTCCTCACGCCCCACTAACATGATCCAAGTCATGCCTTTCACTTTGGGCTAGACCGGAACATGTACACAGGTTCAGATAAAAGAGCTCATGACACATGGAATCCAGGAACAGGAATGGGAGTAGCAATGCCAGGAGGGTAGGGGGAAATGTGGGGAGAGGAGAGGAATAAGGGGGAATGGATTGCAAGGATCAACCCTTTTACCCCACAGGGGCACAAACAACAGAAACTATGGAGGAAGAGACCGCAGACAGTATAAACTATGAAAATAATAATTGGGGAGGACTGGGCCAAGAACAGAAGGGGGAGAGAGAGAGAAAAAAAAGAAAGAAAATAATACTAATTGATCATTTATCAAGGGGTCACAAGGTGGGGAGGGGAAGAGGGAGGGAATAAGGAGGAGCTAATACCAAGGGTTCAAATAAAAAGTAAATGTTTAGAAAATAATGATGGCAACATATGTACACACATGCTTGAAAAAAATTGATGTACGGATTATTACAAGAGCTGTAAGAGCCACCAATAAAATTATCTTTTAATAAAAGATAATACAAAACTAAGATTGACATAGTCAAATATACTATCATAATGACAGATTTTAACAATTTTAAACACAACAGTAACTTCTCCAACAGCCATAATACACAACACATTCTCTAAGAATGTGCATAGTGAGCAGCCAGTCCAGAGAGGACCACATGGCCAGCCCCACTATGAGACATGATGCCCCTCACTGACCCATGGCCCTGCGGGGGACAACACCAGAGACACAGTGTGGGAA